ACAACAACAACAACAACAACAACAACAACAACAACAACAACAACAACAACAACAACAACAACAACAACAACAACAACAACAACAACAACAACAACAACAACAACAACAACAACAACAACAACAACAACAACGTCGTCTTGCTTTAGCGTTTCACCACAATTTGTGCCAACGCACTTCCTTTTATTAACCAATACTAAAAACACTCAGGTGTAATCATTCAGATCCTAATTAGGTCACATGATCACTACCACATACAAATCAATACAATATACAATATAAATACAAACACAATCAGAGCACATTATACATTAAAATGTCAACAGTAGCTGAAAGATTGTCTCCAGCCGGGTTAATCACAACACAGAGTACCTCGACACGGATGTGACGAAATCATTTCGCTACACAAGCAGTGTTGTTTTATAATCATTGCACTAAGGTTTAAAGAGCGGCACCAAGTGATGCAAGTCCAGGGACCACAGCTCACTTCTCTGCTGTGGTTCTGTTGGCCTTGTCCTACGGTGCCTTCACAAGGAAACACTAACTGATGATGTCTTTGTCTCCACCACAGGACCTTCCTGGTAGACAGCACTAACTCCTACAACGTTCACACTGATTCACTGTCAGAACCAGAAACTTGGAGGAAAACTTCTCGGCACGTTTAGGTCAGGAAAATGTTCACAGGTCTACAAAGAAGAAGCAGACTGCTGCCTCCTGAGTTTTCTGAATTAATGGACAACCTCAGTAAACATGCAGATTTATTCATCAATCTGTTTGAGAACAGTAGAAAGAAGATGAGAGCCATTGTTGAAGAGCTTCGCGGGATCGCTGCTGAAGTAAGAAAGATGCACGAGGAAACAGACAAAGAGAGAAGAGCTGGACTGGCACTAGGAGCTGTGGTTTTTGGAGCTGCGATTATTGCAGCTCCGTTCACTGGAGGGTTAAGCTTAGCTACTGGTGCTGCTGTAGCTAGTGCTGTAGGTGGTACTGTAGGTGGTACTGTTGTTGTTGGTGCAAACCTAAGAAAAATAGATGTGGAGAACAAAAGCGTACAACAAGTAAAAGAACTGGGAGAAGCATTCAGGAAGATTGTTGAACCAATGAAAAACGAGCTGGAAGAAATAAAGGAAACATGTGAAAAGCTGGAGCAGAAATCAACGAAAGATCAGGCTAAAAACTCTCTGTCAGATATGGAGGAGTTTCAAAGGCTTCTGTGTCAGGTGTCTGCACTGAGAGGACATGTTGTGGAAGTTCTGGATGTGGTTATAGGAGTGAGAGACGCAATAGGTCAAATGTTAATACTCTTTATGAGAGTATTCAGACCCACTGCGACCCCTAAATTAGACCGAAAGTTCATAGACTCCATCATCCAGTCAGCTGATCAGGCTTTTAATCTTATAGATGGGTTTGTTAAGATGGAGGGGGAGCTCAGAAGCATCACAGGGAAGTAGCTTCACAATAAAAGTCTGTTCTATCATTGTTGTTCACTGTAACCTTGTGTTCCTGCTGTAAATACGAGTTCATGAACAAACAGCCCTACAGTTGAAAAGACAAACTGTTTTGTAGAATAGTAGTTTTTTTCTGTGAACTTGTTAATGTGTAAATACGCTGTAAACCACATTGTGCAGAGCCCTGCTCCTATAACAGCCAACACTGAACTGAATGGATCCATTTACAACTCAAAGTGACTAAATGTGCTTATTCCCTTCCATTATTATGGGGTTTTGTTTACTGTAGAAATGTTTCCTGCAGCTCAGACAACTTCCTGTTCTGGCTTCCTGTTCTGGCTTCCTGTTCTAGGAGCCTATTACACTTGTGCATATTTTTTTTATATTTTATCTATGTAAGACAATAAAAATCATTACATTTAATAAAACCGTGAACATTAGAAATTCTCTGTCGTATCTGATTGTTGTTGACAGTTCAGCTAATTATTTTAAATGTCTTGTTAATGTCTATAAATTTACCGTTTGACTCAGTATTTCTATTCATTTGTGTTTTATAGTTCTGAAAGATGGACACATTTACCTCCGTGGAAGCACTTTATTTCTTTTAATGTGGTTCTTAGGTCATCATATAACGACTGGTCAGCCATGACATGCCGATACCAGGTCCTGCAGATCTCCCTTCGGAAAACTTCAAATTTTAAACTTCCCAGCCTCATCGACAACACAGGTCTCTCGGCAGTAAGAAAATTGGTGATTGTCCTTATGAAATCATTGTCTACTTAAATTCGGCGTTACTTTATTCATCAAATAATATGTTGTTATAATTCACTTTTTCCCTTTATCTGATGTAGCTGGGCGCAATGTCCTGGTCGTCGACAGGCAGAACGGCTTTAAATTAAGACAAAATGTCAACAGAGTCTGGCGAGGAAAAGCTTCTTTAATACGGAAAGCAACGTTATAAACCACACATCCATCATGAACAGATATTCAACCCACTAGATGGAACTGCTGTCTGACTCGTGTGCTGTGGGTCTGTGTGCATGATATGTGCATGTCCACTGATTAAATAACCGAGTAAATTAGCAGCCTGCTCCTCGAGTATCTGTGTTAGTATCGGCGGTAGTATTTCCTGTCACCAAATCAGCGTGAACATTTCTAATGGGTATCACGGTCACCGCAGCTCGTTCCACAGAGGAACGAACAGCCAATCACAGCGGAGAACAGTCGGTCTCCATGGTAACCGCGGATTGTTTGGGGAAGGGCATCCTCGGTGTCAAACGTCCAGCGGAGGAGAGGAACATCCAGGCATCTGTGCGCGAAGAGCAGTCGGTGAGTTCGGCGGGTTTTCCATCATCACTGCACATTAAATCTGTGATACTCACCTGTGAACGAGTCTGTCCGCAGCTTCCGGCTCTCACCTGTTTACCTGCGGACACACCTGCGCACTCCCGGAACACACGCTCATCCTTTACTGTAGGAAAAGCGCAGTCCTGCGTAAAAGTCCTGCATTCAGAATGTTTATTGTCAGCAGAAAGTGTTTCAGCACCAAAGCTCTACTATTGTTATATAACTGGATTATTATTACTGATGTGGAGTAAACAACATGTTGTTGTAGCTGCTGCAAGTGGAGCTGGCATCCCATAATAATACTTACAATGACTCTGAATTATGAGTACTTTACTTTTTAATACTCATAGCATATTTGGCTGTTTGTACTTAAGTACTTGTACATGCACAGGCCAAGTTACTGTGTAGACCAAGTGAAACCACACAGGTCAGAGTCACATCTTCAGCTGAACGTGGAACAAGCAGTAAACTGAGGTAACCTCACTAAGGAGCTGAGTATTTCTCTCTGGGTGCTGGTTCAGCTGGCTCTGTCCACAAACTGCTGGTTGATGAGCGAGTTCCAGACACTGTAGTAAGGTCGTAGTAGTACTACATGTACATGTACTTGGCTGTAGCCTTATTATGTCCATCATAGATGAATCAGCTGATTGTTCTCTGCATGAACTGATTCATTTCAATAAAACTGTCAATACAGTGTCAGAAACTAGCGGACGACGTGAGCCATTAGAGCTTTACTGTAGATGCTTGAGAGTGTGGCAGGTCTGTGTGTCACATAACCTTTATACAAACATGCTTCACTGTGTGGGTTTTAATTTGAGGACAGTTTAAGATGCAGCATCAGGTGGTCCTTGGTTTTATTCTTTGAATTTATAGTTTGTTTGTTTCTTAAACATTTCATGTTAAAGTGAATCGTCTCTCTGAGCAAAACGTCTTCTCTGTGTGACGTCAGAGATGGCGGGGACGGCGAGACATGACCGAGAGATGGCGATGAACGCTAAACGGCAGCTGTCTGAGTGCTCGGACCCGGTGGAGAAACTCCGACTGCAGTGTCTGGCCAGAGGCTCGTCTGGGATCAAAGGTCTGGGCAGGTGAGCTCCTCTCACAGCACACCTGTTGGAGGTGGAGGGGGCGGAGTGACAGATAAGACTGATGCTGATGTGAGTGGTTAGTTTATACAGTCTGTTTGTTGGGGACTATGAATCCACATTTGGTCTCTAGTGAGTATTAGTGGCAGCAGGACGGTGTGTGTGAGACTGGGTCAGAGTAAAGTCCAGCATGTGAGCTCATGGTGATGAAGGACCACGTCACCCAGTGTAACCAGAGAGTACGGAAGCCAGGAGGCAACCTTCTAGTGCTTTACCAGCTCATCATGTGTTTATGAGAAGTCTGAGAAGTGACCAGTCGGTGCAGCTGTCAGAGCAAAGTGTTTCCTTCTGAAATGCAGTGGAAGTATCGAGAAGCATCACCACTGAAGTAGTAGGACAGATACTTCAGACTCATACTTGAACCTACTGTAGATGTGGTTGCTGTGTGTGGAGGTCAGATGTTTTTGATGCAGTACACGTGGGCATCCTTTGGGCACAGCTCCGTCACACATTCACATTAGCCAGCACATCTCTGAGCCAGTGCTTCACAGTAACAAAACAATGTGTGATTCATGTTTGTCAGAACCTTCAAAATAATGGACGATGACAGCAGCCGCTCGCTGGACTTCAAGGAGTTCCTGAAGGGCCTGAACGACTACGGGGTCATGATGGAGAAGCAGGAGGCCACGGCCATCTTTGACATCTTTGACAGGGACGGGAGTGGGACCATCGACTTCGAGGAGTTCCTCATCACTCTGAGGGTAAATACTCGGACCGGTGACCAGACAGCTCTGGGTCACTTCACCCCTTTAACTCCTGTGATCTGTTCCCTGCAGCCACCGATGTCTCAGGCCAGGAAGGAGGTGGTCATGCAGGCGTTTCGGAAGCTGGATAAGACGGGTGATGGGGTGATCACCATCGAGGACCTGAAGGGGGTTTATAACGCCAAGTGCCACCCCAAATATCAGAACGGGGAGTGGACAGAGGAGCAGGTGTTCAGGGCGTTCCTGGACAGCTTTGACTCTCCCTACGACAAAGATGGACAGGTAAACAGCTCGTAGCTAGTGTCTGCAGCACGTGTTCAGTCAGTCGCAGCAGTGAGAGACTCAGTGACGAGATGTTGTAGTTACTGATGCTGCTGTTACTCTCTGAAGGTGACCCAGGAGGAGTTCCTGAATTATTATGCTGGTGTGAGCGCGTCCATCGACACAGATGTCTACTTTATTGTGATGATGAGAAATGCCTGGAAACTGTGACTTAGCGTCTGGTAAAAGAGCTCACCGTGCTGCTGGTGGTGGTGGTGGTGGTGGAGTCTGTCATCTGCTTTCCCACAGGGTGTCTCTCCTCCATGTGACCAGAATCACTCTGCAGAGTTTCCTGTATGGCGTCATTCTGAACATGCACCAAGAGGAAAAGTAAACATGTGCTCGTGTATTTGGACACAAAGAACTAGACAGGACACAAACCTCAGTAGGAAACGAGTGGCTGCTGAGTTGGACTGTCCCCAGACTTCACCGTCTGTGGTTCACTAACACCCCGTTCAGCCTTTCCAGTCTGGACTAACTCCCTCCTCTGTCAACGGGGACCTCCCCGCTCACTGTCTCTCACTAATATCTGACTTGTAACCACACAGCTGATCCTGGTACAGTAGCCAGTGTAGATACTCACCTCTGACCCCTGCTGGTCTCCAGATTCCTCACACCTCTGCTTCGTTTCCTCTCTGAGCAGGGCTCTGGTGGCGGCCTGTGCTTACAGGGTTAATCATTCTGAGACCAGCTGCTGTCTGCGCTCTCACTTCTTAGTAAAGCTCCGCTGACTTGCTCAGACTGTGACTCAACCTGAAATGTTTGTTCTGACCAACAGGTGACCAAAGAGGAGTTTGACAACTATTACAGTGGAGTCAGCGCCTCCATCGACAGCGACGTCTACTTTATTCTAATGATGAGAAACGCCTGGAAGCTCTGAACCAAGCGAAGGACACGAACTCCAGACTGTCATTAATCATGCTGAAGAAATGTAACGTGAGCTCACACCTGTGATCAGGACGCTTCTGTGACTAATTACCACAATGATAACACCTGTAGCTGTGTGTACTTTCTACTGTGGGTTTACAAGTTACAACTGGTTTCATTCCAGATCAGTGAGTGACTTTGGTCCATTTGGCTGTTTTTAGAAGTAGAACATTATCTGATGTCTGTCGTCCTGTTGGGTGTAGATGGTCATAAGGAAACAGCTTTAATTCTCTTTTCTCTACTTTATTGTACATTGCTTTGATTAAATAAAACACTGATTAAATAGTGTGTGTTAACAGGTACAATCAACACCATAAGAGACATACAGTGGGTTAGCAGGCGTCAGTCTGACTGAAATGTTACAGAGAAAACACATTCTGGGTTTTTATTCAGCCACTGCTACAAGGAAGCTCGAGGTGTATGTTGTGTCAGGTACTGAAGAAGCAGCTTTGTATTTGTCGTCTCAACTCCACTGAGACCACAAACAGAGACACTTGGGCAGGGCGCCACAGCAACACATCCACAGCTGTTCTGCAGCAAACACTGGGGCAGTGTGGGCTGGGTAACGGCAAGAAGAGCCTGTGAACACCAACAGGGTTGGTGCACAGGAGCTGGGATAGCAGCAGCAGACCTCAGCGGTGTTTCTGTATGTTTGAGTCCACTGAGGAGTTGTAGGCGATGCTTGTACAGACAGGTGACAGAGTACACAGGACACAGTGTGGCTCCTGCTGTGGTTCCAGGAGCTGTTTAGGATGTTCCTGAGCTCATTCAGGTGGTGGCTGTGGTTCTTGGTGGAGGACCTAGTGGTCACCCAGGAGATTCTGGAGGCTGCTTTAGAGCCAACAGGGGCTCATGTTGGGGACTGAGGAGGTTCCAGGGACTGGTCCGACACTTCAGGTGGCCGCTGAGGAGGTTCCAGTTGAGATGTGAGCAGTCCTTTAGCTGGTTCTGGTGGTCAGTAAAGGGGTTCTGTGATCCTGTAGGTTGCTGGTGTGGTCACTGAGGAACTTCTATATGTCCTTAGGGTGTTTCAGATCAATCCAATCAAATCAAAGTGTTTATTGTCATATGCACAGTAAGGAAACATGTTTCCCTGTGCAATGAAATTCTTCCTTTGCCGTCCACATGAATGCCCAACAATATACTGTAGAGTCTAAATATAAAGTAGATAATAAATAAGACAAAATAAAGGCAATTTAAAAACAGCATGTGAAAAATACAATAAAGATGGTTGCTGTAGTCCTTTATTTATTGGTCCTAGTGGTCACTGAGGTTTTGGTGGTCCCTTTAGGGGTCCTGGTGATCAATGAAGAGGCTTTGGGTGTTGGTTAGGGGGGTTCTGTGCTCCATTAAGTGACTACAGGTCACTGAGGAGCTTCTAGGTGTCTTTAATGTGGGTTTAGGGATCCTTTAGTTGGCTGTGGTTTCTGGTGGTTCTACAGTCCTACAGTAGGGGTCACTGAGGAGTTCTACCAGGCCTTGATGGTCCCAGGGGACCTTCATCTGTTCAAATGAACAGTTTATACTGAGACTTATTTTATTTTGTTGCCCATCTGTAAAGTTCAAAGCAGGTTCAATGGTTTTACCTTCCACACGGCGATCTGCTCTGGAAATGTTCAGGAGCTCTGGTTTGAGTTAAAACCTGCAGAAACACAGGTATGATCTAAGGTTCCTCGAGCAGTCATCTGCGGACTACACCAGGTGACGGGTGAGGTCGGAGCTCTGGTTTGAGTTAAAACCTGCAGAAACACAGGTATGATCTAAGGTCATCTGCGGACTACACCAGGTGACAGGTGAGGTTACAATGTGTCAAATTGTAAAGCCAGTGGTTTCTAGATTTGTTTTTGTTTTGTAATTTAAAACCACTCGTCACAGGTCGGGTCAACCAAAGCTACTGGACTGGGCTGAAAGTGTGCAGCCAAACCAGCACCTCTGTTGTGCTGCACAAGCTGAACATTGACTCAAGTCCAGCTCAGGCTGATGGCATTGTCTTTGGTCATAAGGTACTGATGAACATGTTGTCCTGATGATGCTCAGCAGAGGTTTCATCCTGATGGGATGATTGACAGGAGAGGAAGTGGATGTTTGTACAGTGTCTGTCTGCTGTCATCCAGAGTCCAGCTGCTAGCATGGCTAAGAGCCACAAACGGAGGTGTTTGTCCCTTCTTATCCACTGCCACCCTGTATTGTGACCCTCAGACTTATCTTTGGCCCTCGTGGGTGGCCCTAGACCCCAGGCTGTGGCTCTCACATGCTACATACACTCGAGTCACAGAGATAATCTGTTAATCTGCAAAACTGAGGCATGCCGAACGTTTTAACCCCATACCGTCCTTTCTCATAACACTCTCCCATATCGTGAAGGTATTTCCTGAACCCTCAGAGAATCTTCTAAAATAATCCAGTCTGGTCCAGGAAAGTTAATTTCAGTCAGTTTCTTGCTTTATCTGTTCTTTTCATATAAACAAAGATGGAGCGAGGACATGATGTCGGCGCTCTGGCTTTGTGTGAAAGTGGCTCGACTTTCGCAAAAAAGTGGGAGACGGTGTCATTTCCTCTCGCCATCTTTACTCAACTGACAAAAATGATATTTTCCTGGAACGGGTTATTTTTGACTCCACATTGTTAGAAGAGTCAGTGAGGTTTGGGAAATACCTTCAGAATTTGGTTGAGTGTTATGAAACGACAGTTCAGGGTTAAAACAGTCAGCATGTATGTAATCCAGTGGAGTGACAAACCGGGGCTGGGGTGGCCCCAGCCCCCAGGCCAGGCCCCTCTGCTTCAGAGCACCCCGATGTGTCTTTCTCAGAAGTTTAATAAACACTGGTCCTGGTCCCGTGCGTCTGTCCCTGGTCTTCCTTCTGACCTACTTGATCTGATAGAAACTGGACATGGTGACGTACGCCTCCTCCTGCTGACTCACTCCAAACACCTCAGCCTCGTTTCCTCCCCTGCTGTGTTCAGGCGGAGGCGTGTCTCTGTCCTCGAGCTGGAGGACGCTGGCGGGGGACAGACTGGTGCTCTGGAGGCTCTCCTCTCCATCGGAGGAGCTCCTGCTCAGCAGGGCGGAGAGCTCCAGCTCCTCTGTGGTGGTGCTCCTGCAGTCAGAGCTCTGGGTGGAGCAGGGATCATTGGGCTGAGACCCGTCAGCGACAGCGGGACCTGTGGGGGGGTCAGTCTCCTCCCACAGCTGCTCCTCTGGTTTCTCCATTGGGAAGACTTTAAGGGTGCTGAACACCTCGGGGTGGAAGTGCAGCAGAAGGCCCTTCAACAGCAGAAAGACATCACATTTAGTGTCAGGTTGGTCAGGAACTACTGTCGTATTCAAGTCCTTCACATTCAACAAGGTTTGTAACTGACAGCAGCATTTAAAAGCATTTACAGCAGCAAGACGTGGTGAAGCCACTCAGTGGACTCCACAGAGGCACAGCAGACCTGTGTGAATAGTTTGTCTAAATGTGCTCCACTGGCCAATCACAAGCCTCAGAGTGACGTGTCAGGGCAGTCAATGCTCCAGTGCACAGAGAGTACATGAGGCTCAGAGACGTCGCTGCTGAACAGTGCTAGCCTCTTACTGGCTTGCTAACAAATTAGCATTCAGAGCATGTCACCAGCTAGCCCTCCAGAACCAAAAGGCTGGAGAGACGTTGTGCTTTCACAGCCGACAGCTACAGGCCGAGTTAGACAGAGACCACAGTCATGGTTCTCATGTGTCGCTGGCTGTTCAACACGTGGTGTCTCAAAACAAAACAACTCACTTTACTGGGTCTGCAGATCTGCACCAGTGTGTGTTTGGGATGCGGGATGCTCGGCCACATGTAGGTGAACACTCTGAAGGAAAGACAATAAATATATGAACCATGGGTCTTCACTTATTTCCTGATAAGAAAGCAGAGGTGCCATACTTATTTTTACAGAGGACGACTGCACTGGTCACCACAAAGAAGAGACACAGAGCCGATATGTACAGCACCACCTGTCTGTCAGCCCCCTCCTCTGGGACTTTTCCTTCTGGGGGAAAAGGAGACAAACAGTGCAGTCACTCTCCTCCGCCCTGCAGAAAAGCAGAATGTGCTGCAGCCGACCTTCTCCTACCAGCGGGTGTGAAGAAACTGAAGCTTTCACTCCACTCGCTCCAGCTGCCCTGTAGAAACTTGTGCGGGATCGCTCTCACTCGGACCTGATACTCTGTGTTTTTCTGGAGCCGCTCCATGTCAATCCTCAAAATGTCAGACGAGGAGATGTTCTGGTCAAACAGGACCTGTTCAGACAGGGAAAGCAGTGAGAAACCGGACCGTGGCAAAGGTTCAGAAGGGAACTGAAATCAGCTCACTACCATTTCGCTGCCTGCGGTGCAGATGTGCAGCTGGAAGAGCTGGTTGTCTACTTTCAGGTAATCTTTGTGGTACGGAGTCCGAATCAGGATGACCGCCTGGTTGGACTCGTGGTTGAAGGTGACGTTCCACACCTGAGGACTTCTCGGTTTAACTGCAGGGACACGACAAGTGTGACATCAGGCAGGTGTGGTGTCTGTCACGCCTGTGGTTCAGCTCATCTGGTTCTGAGCGAGGCGGCAGCTACAGCAGGTGAAACGCTGGGGAAGCACTGAGCCCAGACAGACCAAAACATAATGACCTGAGCGCGTCGTCTCAGTGCTTCTCCAGACATTTATTTCAGTCTGGCCAGTTTCAGTGAAGTTTGCTGTTGCTGTGGGGCCCAGCGCCCTCCAACAGGATCTCTCTCCCCCACTGAGCAGAGGCGTGAACCCCGATGACTCCACTCAACCCACGACTTTCCCTCTGGCACCAGTATCAGGACAAACTACTGATTTCAGTGTGAGGGCAACTAAACTCCCTGCTTCACAGATTGCTAAAAGTAAAAACCAAATAAAGAGAAACCCAGAGAACCTATTAAAACCTGAAATGCAGCTCATGTTGTGCACCAGCAGTTTGTCCTGGTGAAAGGCCTGTGGTCTAACAGATGTAGTTAGAGGCGAATGGGCAGAGGGGGCATTTCATTCACTCATTCACCTCAGTCTTTTAATCTGTGCTTGTGTTTCACTGCAGCTGCTGGTGTCAAATCAAATCTCTAATGATCTGTGTTACTGTGCCTTTACATTCTGTGAGGCTTATTCCACCTCCAGATGTGCCAAACTCTGCTTAGTGCCTGAGTCAGAACCATGCTGAGGTTTGGAAAACGAGCACTCACCTATTTTCTGCAGGTCGACTGTCGTCCTGATCGTGTCTCCTCTCTTCAAGTGGACAGTCAGGTCCAAGCCCACCATGGGCGTGCCTGTGAAGCTGAGCGTGTCGCCGGAGCCGTTCTCACACTTTTCCTTCCTTAATCTCCAGTCGGTGTAACTGTGAACAGGACAACAGTGACGTCTGTCATCAGCCCAGTCTCCTGTGAGGTGTAGGAGGGCACTACCTGTCATTTTAAATGTTTTACCACAGGGCCATTCTCTCGATGCCATCGTCCTCATCATCTTCATCATCCCCGGTGTCACTCCGGCACCCGAGCAGCCTGCAGCTCAGGGTGTTTCCTTTTGTCATGATGTGGGAGGTGCAGCTGAGTCTGGACTCTGAGGGCAAACACAGCAATGACATCTCAGTCTGCCCTGATTTATCATTAACCTCCTCATGAAGATCTTTAGCAAGTCCAAACTCTGCCTTGGTAGTAAAACATCTGGAGTTTGGTCCAGCACCTGGGGAAGGGTTCTGGATGTGTGAGCCTCACACTGTGCATTAAAATCCCAGAACATTTTGATACATCATATGCAAAGCGCTGTAACAGGGACTAGAGAGAGTGCACGGCATTCTCATGTTACAAAGTAAAACCAGACAAATGACATAAAACGATATCTCCTGGGTGGAGCGTGGCCCAGGAGGTGAAATCGGGGCCAGACAGGCCAGTTTGTAGTTCACATTAGAAAGAACACAGAGAAGCAGACTGAGAACACGAGTCATCCACAGTTCAGAAGCTGCACCAGGACGT